GAAGGTAGAAACTAAACAAGGTGAAATATCATCATCTATCCGGCCATAATCATGCATACATTTAAAGTGTGTTATAACTTAACTAATCGGAGAGAGTGTATATTTAAAAAAATTGAACCCATGAAATTTCATTTAGACAGTCGGGCCAGTGACTATGGAAATGTACTGGGTTCGAACGGATTTCACTAGCCACGGGCTAGCGGGCCAGTGGCTATTTTGCACACCGTTTGCAATCTGACTTCAGCTATTTACCACAATGCAAATGGAGATATAAATCCCTGGAACAGAGAGGAGGCACTGTCGGATATTTTCTCTGGATCTGACTTAAATTCATACCTGACCACATGGGTGTCTCCTGCCATAATTGTCAAGAAGACAGGCAAAACAAGAAGCCCGAGCCAGACAAACACATCTATAATTCTGTGCACTCGGCAATGACAAATTTCTCCTTACATTGTGTGGCGGATATATAATATTGTATACTGAGTCAAAAAAGAAACTTCACATTCTTTCTTCAGGGCACTATAAAAGAACAAGAGATGGTAAGATGGTTAAATTGTAATTATTTCATTGCTGAGATCTGTGTGATGTACTCGATACACTGACAGTGCCATACTCAGTTCCATTAGGCTACATCACCGTTCCAAAACATGGGTATACAGAATGTCAAGACACAAGAATAAAAATGCGAAATTGCTCAGTTCAGTATCGTGTATGGCCGCCCCGTGTATTCACCACTGCCAAACACCGTCTCCTCATCGACTGCCTGATGCTTGTGAACACGTGGTTGGGGATTCTGCGCCATTGCTCTTGCAAGGCAGCGCCAAGTTCCTGCAAATTCTGAGGCTGGTTCCTAAGACCACGAAGCCTTCTCCCAAGTGCATCCAAAACGTGCTCTATTGGATTAAGGTCAGGGGACCTCGATGGCCAGTCCATGACGTTGATCCCAGCGTTTTGAAGGAAATTTCCTGTCAACATCGCGGTATGCGGCCGAGCATTATCATGCTGGAACTGTAGACCTTGGCCATGAGCCCCCATGAAAGGAACGAGTTCAGAGGCGAGCACCTGGTCGCGGTAAGCAGCAGCTGTGAGGTTTCCACAGATGACCAGAGGTCGGGAACGGTTGTTGCCACATAAAGCACCCCACACCATGCAACTTCCGCCCCCGAATCTGTCGACTTCCTGTACACAACATTGGGCATAAACCGTTCACGACGTCGTCTCCAGACTCTATGCCTGCCGTCCGCGAATCTGAGCGTAAACCTGGATTCATTGCTAAAGATGACTCGATTCCAGTCTCTCTGGGTCCATCGGAGGTGACGTTGGGCTCACAGCAGACGTTGACGGTGACGAAATGGCGTCAATTTTGGCCCACGATTTGGAGGTCGAGAATGGAGATTGGCAGCCCACAACCGATTTCGTATGGTCTGTGAGGCATGTTATGGTGGCTCATTCGGGCAATCGCTTTATCGCCCTGAAGAAATCAAGGCGATATCGCGACAAAGCGATTGTACAACACGATATTGCGATATAGCGACAAGATACAGCGATATTGCGATACAGCCAAAAACGAAATAGCGAAATCACGACACGACATGGCGATAACAAGACACGATATGGCGATAACACGACACGAAATGGCAACAACTTGACACGAAATGGCGATAACACGACACGGCGATAACACGACACGACATAGCAATACGGCGATATTGCGATATTGCGATTCGGCGATATTGCGATACGGCGATGTTGTGATATGCTCACTTGTTAGATCTGCGCATGCTCAAACGGAAAACGAGGCTCATTCGCCATTTGCAAAGTAAAGGGAAACGGGTATGTATTTTCTTACTGAATGTCCTACATTATAACACTCATTTGTTTTCATGCGCATTGATTGTTTTTGTTATAAACAAACGAAAAAACGATGCTAAACTTTGGGCATCCCGCATACCACTTTGAATGTACACAACGTATACAAGAAGATTAGACTTGTATTTCCACATAATATGCATAATCGTGTGTAAGCTTAGGTCTGCCTATTGATTTGTTTTATCTGACACTCTTTGAAAAAGAACTTGCTCAAAAACCCATTTCTTCATTGAAATATTTGCATCCGAATGGAATAAGGTAAGCCAAATTCTTTCATTTTGGCTAGCTATGCTAATAGTGTGTGAATGCGACCTCACGAAGTTTGACTATGTTATGTTAAGTACGTGGGTCTTCAGCATACTGCAGTGTTGTTTACTCTTTATTATAGAAATCATCCAAAGCAAGTTGAAGGGGAAACTAAAGCACTGGACGAAAGTGATACAAATGTCTCAGTTTGAAAGTGATTTTCCTCAAGGCTTTCTCTGTTTTGCATCCCACTTGGAATTTGTCCAAGCTGCTAGCTTTTGTGGAGACAATTACCTGGATGTCATTGACTCGTATGAGATCAATGGTTTCGATCTGTTAATATTTTTTTATGAAGCTGATTTGTTGCTATGCAAAACATTCTGTCTTGATCAATTCTTTACGTTCCTTGTCTACACTGTGACATAATGTACAGTTCAGCTTACAGAGTTTAACAAATCAGCACAAAACCAATTAAACTATTTATGTTTTCAAGAAAACATTCTTACTGCAGTTTATTTCAAACCGCATTGTGCAGTATTCATTGCAAAGCGCGGCATTGTGGCATTTTACAAATAACGCAAAGATACCTTAAAAAGGCAATTGGGCTCATGGGTCTAAGCAACCTAAGCTTCTTCAGCACCTCGAAATGGTACCTGAATAACTACCCAAAATGACTCTGACTGACCCAAATGTTGACTTCATTCTCATGATACTAGCCATAAAAAATACACTGAGTAAACACTCACTACATTCTACTGCTTCAATGCTTTCATTTAATATCAAGTATATCACTGAACAATGTCATCTTAAACATGGAATTATTTCGCTTCTGGTTCGGATCCCGATAGCTTGTTCATTGGTGCTTTTGTCCAGGTGAGCTTCATTGCTGGTGTCACTATTAATTGTAAAATATTTTCTTTTAACCACTGACATTGGAAACCGGTAATATGTGACCAAATACAGAAGATAACACTGGTTGTTTGAGTGGATTTTAAGTGTGTTATATTATCGCTTTAGTTAATGTTCCTGTGTTAGACTTTGATTAAATTATGCAGTGTCAAAGCGTTGGACTGTTAAAGTTATATCTATCAGACTGAAACACTGTGTTTCCGGAACAAGGAACAGGCCGTGGCAGGTTTCTGTGAGTTGTGCACCAATAAATGGAACCTGTAGTCATTTTGTTGATGTTCGGGTGGTCAAATAGAATAATAATGATATACAGTGAATAAGTCAATACTTTCGTGTAGTTCAGGTTATGATAGCTTTAGCTATTGAACACACTGGCTCTGCTCATTTCAGTCACTTGACAGTTGCAACTTCATCTCATGACATGCTGAAATTAGATTGAAACAAGTTTATAAATATACTGATGAGAGGAGGATGTTTCATTCACGTGAAGGCATTACATGTTAAAACCTTACTTTGCACATACATATGTTTATTTGTCTGATCATCATATGGTGGCACTTACAGTCGTTTAATATTAATGTTGATGATGCTGATGGCGCCCTACTGTAATGCTGGAGGAAAGGGTGTCAGTCAAGCAAAGTGTCATTTACAAAGCGCCTTGAGACGTCTTTTGGAGATGTTTCTGAAAGGCATGTATATATCCAGTGTGTTGCACAGGATAGCAACCTAAACAGACTCATTTGCTTGCATGAAATCGGCTGGCCTGAAAAGTGTACGAGGTTTCCTTTTCGTTGATACATTTTATGGCACATGCTCATCCTGATGTGTAACACACACATAAACACACACGCACGCACGCACGCACGCACGCACGCACGCACGCACCCACGCACGCACGCACGCATACATACATACATACATAACATACATACATACATACATACATACATACATACATACATACATACATACATACATACATACATACATATACATACATACATACATACATACATACATACATACATACATACATACACAACTTTATGCCTGTAGACATGCAGATTTGCCTGTATACATATATAAGCACAAAGTAAATTGTGGAATGTTTATCCTTACAGATTACTTTGATCATGTCAAGGCCTGTTTGGGGTAATTTGTTCGTGTTGAAGTTGGAAGACAAGCACTATTTGGAAGAGTTTAACCTTCGAAGTGTTTATGAAATTGTCAGTTATTCCAATGGTTACCTATTCAGTTTCAAGTGCTTATCTGCCTACATTCTATCCAAGCTGATGTTGGCAGAGAGGAAAACGTATTTTCTAAGTTTTTGAGTGGTTTGTGTTGATTGTCAACTTTGGTACTTATAATAGGGGTACAATTCACTATACAGGCGCAAGGCGCGATTTAAGAATGTTTAAATTGGTTGCACAATTTGCATCCTCAGAGAGAAGCAGGCTTCGAAAAAATGCATCATTGATTTTGTTCCCCTTATATATTAAATGAGTACGAACAGCCCCTCTCCTAGAGGAACACTTGCTGTAATTCTTTATAGTTCTATTTCCGCAGTGGATACCATCAATCTATTTGGCGAATCATACACCGTAGTCTTCCCGCATAAGCACAAATGTATTGTCCGACAGATTTTGAAAGTATATAAAATAGATTTATGTAATATATATATTAGTTAGTGAGGGAGTGAGTATAGTTTTACGCCAATAGCATATTCCATCAATATCGATAGGCGAGGGACACCAGAAATGGGCTTTACACATTGCACCCATGTGTGGAATCGAACCCGGGTCTGCGGCGTGACGAATATAGATAATACAAAAATAGATGACAGAATAGCATGAGTGATATATGAAACGTTATTAAACTAATGATGTACATACGGAATTTAGATATGTTTTTGTGCAAAATTATGAATCAGTAAATATGAAAATGAATTACGTTCATTGTGATTTTTTTTTCAGCATGGATGAAATTCTTGAAGCACTCAACCTGTCATCTCTGAAAAAGAACTTTCAGGACAACAAGGTATGGAAAAGGTCGTGTTCATTTTTCTTATTTCGTACGTCTATGGTTTATGATCTATTGCAACTATTCTACGTTTCTCTTAAGGTTGATCCTACAGACGTGCTGTCTTTGACTGAGGAGGACTTTAGAAGTCTTGTCGTGCAGACAATTGGGGAAAGAGCACGATTAAGACAGAGGTGCAAGAATTTAGTTTCCGGTAAGATTATCAGACCAATTAATCCGTAATTCATGAGTGCTGATTATGTCATGTTACGTTCAAATAATAAAATATCGGCGTTTGACAATTTATTAACTTTTCCAGAGTCTATGTCAGAATCACCAGTTGTTCAACGTCTCCGGATGTTTCAGTCTCAACGTAGACAACGGGTATTGTGGCAATTTCTTCTTACTCATTCATCATATAAATAAAAGCAACTAAATATATTCTTATTAGCAAATTTGTATTGCAAACAATTGTACACACAGATAAAGAACCTGGTATTAGTATCGTGCTCATTTTTCGAAACAATGAATATTTGCTGTTGCTATTTGTTGCACATACGTCTGCTCATATTGATTTGAAAAACGATAATGTCGCTATTATTTCAAGGTGAGTTGGAGAGGTCCAAACTCTGCTGCATCACGATCGACAACCAGGCGACTACATATCGGTTGGAAACATAAATCTCGAAGCACGTACATCCCGGTTAGTGCAGGCAAGGGTGGCGGTTCTCAGACTTTTGATGCAGATAAAAATCTGACTTTAACAGACCTTGAAAATAAGGTCATAAGCATTTATTTTCCAAGTGGTGTAAACCAAAGCCAAAACCCTGAGATCTCTAACCTGACGTATCACTTGGATCACTTTAACGGAAAAAAGCTTCCGAACAAGATCAATAACGAAGATTTGACTGTAGATTTGCTGTATACGCACAGAAAGTCCTACCCAATTGGGTTATATATCTGCACACATCAGCGGTTGAAGAGCAGGTACGTGTGGCATCTTAAAGAAAAGTAATGATAAAGAATTTTGTGTTCAGCTATGTCATCCTATACAACTTGACAACCCGCAATGTATTATTCAAGTGTACCTGTGCATACTGTAAAATGCACGTAATATTGGGCGACGCATATACGACATCATTAGAATGTCTCTATGTATACTGGACAAAAACAGTTAGGGATATATGTAAATTTTGAAATTATGAATAATGATGTATTTATTCATTGACACACTGATGAAATATCAATCATAAAAATACCAATATCCCTAACTTATTTTGTCCAATATATTATTACAGACTGTCGAGGAGGGCTGCCCAGGAGATGAGAAGCCTGATGCGGTTGCGAGAGATAATACCTCAGTGGTAAACGTCTGAACACACATGATATATTCTGTAGCTCAAAAGGGGACACAAGCTAAGAACAGAATGCATGTTTCATAAATCTGGCCCGATTTGGTATTATTATATTTGGTATTGAATAATGAAAGCGTAATGCTGTTTAACATGAATATTTTCCACATGTTTCCCATTAAAAGAGAATGTAACATACATGAATTATGGCTGATCACGTTCTGTAACCTGAGCCTGGTAGTGAGATAAGCGATTATTTAACATCACTTTGAACAGGTATATGACGGCGGCGGTCCGTTGTGGGAGTCTGAGGTTGTGAGTGAGTGAGTTTACTTTTACGCCGCACTCAGCAATGTTCAAGCTATATGGCGGCGGTCTGGAAATAATCGAGCCTGAACCAGACAATCCAGTGATCAACAGCATGAGCATCGATCTGTACAATTGGGAACCGATGGCGTGTGTCAAGCAAGTCAGCGAGCCTGACCAACCGATCCCGTTAGTCGCCTCTTACGACAAGCATGGGTTACTGAAGAACGATATTCTGACCCGGACCTTTACGGAAATCTGAGGTTGTGACAAAACTGTGGGTATGGCTTGTATTCAGGACAAATGAGGGATTTGACCATACGTTCATCTGATTCTGTGTTGAAGCTGTAGCGCCTTTAGGCGTGTTCCATAAAGGCAAATAACGAATATTTCTTTGTGAACATGAATTCGAAAGGTATTAGTTTTCAGCGTAGAGATAACGTTTAAACCATATGGGCAACGTATTTAATGAATGTTAATTAGGAACACAAATGTGATCAACCCGTCGAAATTCTGTGCCTGTAAATTAAGTAATATAGTATGACCAGAAATTATTGAGAATTTTAGGAATATGTTTAATTGGATTACTAGTATAAACAACCTTGACCAGCTATCAAGTGCTTGGTTTCATTCAATAGAGACAACTCCGTTAATCCTTTTTCATTACTTTGTGAAGAGTTACCCCCCTTTGTTTACTTGCTAGCAGACGACATTTTCAGTGATCCTCAGTATGGATGATTTATAGAAGAGGAAGTTGATTTTAGAGTATTATAAAAAGGACATCAGATCAGCTAAAGTGATTTCAAGTAGAACAGCCATCCCTTTGTCCACTGTTTATCGTGTTTTGAAAGATATTGCAAATGGATATGGCATTGAGCACCAGGGAGGCGCAGGTAGGCTCAGAAAATTGACTGTCGGTGACAGGAGGCGGCTTGGTATTCTTGTTTCTAAAAACAAACGAAGGAGTTTAGAAACCTTAAGGCTAGATTTGATTGATAGAGGATCTGTGGCTGTCTGTAAGGAGACAATTAGAACTGAGCTGCATGCAATGGGTTGGCAGAAAAGTCGAGTAATTCCATCACCGATCATGAAACCTGAACAAAAGGAGCGAATGACGACCTGGTTCTTACAGCATAAAAATTTAACTGGGACAATGAGATTTTCTCAGATGAAAGTTCTGTGTGGCTGTTTCCTAATACACTGAAATTCTGGACCAAACAAACTAAAAAACCTTTGTATCATCGCCCAAAGTACAGGCCGAAATTTAACGTGTGGGTGGCATATCTGTGTTAGGGACAACGCCCCTCTGTGTATTTGAAGGAATATGAACATCGAGCGGTACACAGATATTCTCGAGGGACATTTACTTCCATCTGCTCAAGTGTTTTATGGAAATCTTTGATTTTCCAGCAGGACAACGACCCAAAACATCGTTCAAAGCATTCACAGGCCTGGTTTCGATCCAAAATATGACTTTATTAGATTGGCCAAGCTATAGCCTTGACCTAAATCCAATAGAAAATGTTTTGGGACTTATGAAGGATAGTGTCAATAAGAAAAATCTGACAAATATTGCTGAAATGAAAGAAGAGGTGGTCCGATAATGGGACAGCATGGACCACGACTTTCTAACTTCTTTGATCAGTAGTATGCCTCGCCGCATTGAAGCCTGCATTGCTGCCCATGGCGACTTGACAAACTACTAACTGTTCACCTGTCTTTAAATCTGGAGTTATGTTCTGCTAATATTCACATTTAATACGTGAGTAATGAGTGAAAAAAATATGTAAAAATTACAATCTTTAAATTCTCAATAATTTCTGGTTGTACTGTATACTTTATAGAAATAAAGTCACGTGTGATAGATTGTTTTATGTGTTTTGGCACAGGTGATGGATATTGATGAGAGTACGTCAGATGATGGAGATGAGCTCCCTTCAATGGATAGTGGGACACCAACCATTGTCTTTAATGAAAGGCATGGCCCTGTAATGGTATAGTAGTGAAAGCTTGGCGCTTTGTCGTTTTCTAATGTTTTCATTGAGACGTGAACACATTTCTACAGCGGAAAAATCGATTGGTAATGTTAAGTGTTCACTTTGTTATTTAACACCGCTGTCAACAAAAATAAAGAGTATTTTTTATCATGTTGAAAGTGGATTCAGATTTTCAAAATGCCCTTTTCAATAGTTATATATAATAATCTTAAAGGACCTAAACTTTGGCATTCATATTTCTCCTTTGAATGACCTATATTTTCTTTTCTCACAATTTATGCTGACAATGCTTGAATATCGATTCTGACATCCCGTATGTAGTGTCTGCTTTTGTCAACTATCTATACAGGTAAGGTGCTGGGTATTTGAAGTAGAGTTGTCATGTCAATTGTCATAGTAGCTTTATGCATGCGAGTGCAGTGTGTTCTGTACGTGTCTGTATCTGTAACTTTATTAATAGACAATAGTTATCCGAAACACATACATCCGTAATACCACATCTTTGTATTAACGTTGCACAGGTGTTTGGATATTAAATTATGTAACTTATCAATGATTAGAACGAAACTAAGTTAAATATCAGCAGCGTTTATTTTAATATCACAAAGTTATCTAAGTTTTACACTGAATGCATGTAATAGAATGATAAATGGACATTTTTTATTACTATCAGATTATTTTCACTCAAAATTCAGGAAGGCTTGCGTGTGTATACGTCTGCGAATGAGAGTACTTGCAAAAGAGTGAGTGAGAATAAATTTCGTGTTTTCATCTCAATATGCATTATTTTATATTTTAGCCTTACAAAGCAAAACTTATCAGACTGTTGGAGTGATGAAGGCATATTCCCTTGTTCACGGGGGGCCACAACCGTCCTTTCTCAGCCCACTCCTTCATGACGTCATCGTCGGAGGTATAGACTCGGCGGCTCCTACTATTGACCACATTTTCAATCCTGAGTACAAGGAACATATAACTAAGGTAAAGTATTTTTTCCGTTCTCGTTCATGTGCTTGCAAAATAAACATACAATATCAGTATTTGTATAACCATAAATATGTCTGGTTACAGAGAACAATATCCAGGACATTTGTTATTGAACGTGCCTGTTTCGCAAACACACCGACAGTCCTATAGGATTCTAAAATCTTTTCAGCTGTGCCAAGCAGAGGACACGTCAACAGTGCCAGAAGCTGGGGAGTTGATCCTCGTTGCAGGATGTGGCGCAATGATGTACAGGGCAGATCGGAAGGACGAGATGATTACAGCTCTCATTCCCTTCCTGGTTCTGGGTCGTGTGTCACATTGCATTGACCAGTGAGTGTAATATACTTAAAATACATTTTTTATTTTGCTATAATAGTATTACATAATCTCACAAGAACTGCAAAGATGTAATAATGGTGCGTGTTCACTTTCTGTGGGGTAACAAGTTGATCATGTGTTATACTTGTAGAAACATTTGGATGTCTTCATTAAAAGCTTGCCCTCTCAATCAACTCATTGTAGATTCTGCCATGGACTCGAAACCCTGGGTGTGCTCGAGGCAGTGAGGCAAAACAGGCACAGCATGAAGGAGCTGTTTGTTCATGAGGACCACAGCATAGATTCCTCGACTTTTGAACTCATCTATACACCAGTGTTTAGCGAGGAGGGTAGTAATACACACAGGCTTGAGAAATTGGTGCACTCCAACTGGAGAGACGTCCTGCTGGATATTGAAGGTATTTGCAAGTCTCTTTAGGCAACATAGTGGTTAATGAATAAGGTTTTTTTATGGATATACCACTTCTTTATTCTGAACAGGTGACGTTTTGACATAGATTCTACTGTCGTTGCAAGGCAAGTGGTTCCATGAGAAGTATTTTTGGGTGATATATATATATATATATATATATGTGTGCGTGTGTGTATATGACATGTTTGGGCAATAGATGAGGGTGAGGCAAACATGAGTTCTGTCGAAACGTCGCCTATACAGAATAAACAAGTTGTATATCCATAAAAATAGTCCTCATTCTTCATCTACTCAACTTCTAGAATGACAATCAAAGAAAACATTGTGGTCAGTCTTGTTATTGCATGTATACTTGATATTATATGGGTCTTAACATGATAAACAACTGCGATTTCTTTTACCTGTAAGGAACTATCATGCTTTCGCCTAAGAATCAATGTGTTGATATAACGTCATAACTGAAACCAGACATTGATACTTTTGAATTCGCGAGTTATAGGTTTGTACAACTTCACTATTTCCAGAGGGTGTGGAAGATACGTCTCTGAAGGATGTGCTGATATTTTCAACTGGTGCCGATAGAGTTCCGCCACTTGGTCTCCGACCGCAGCCAACACTAACGTTTCACCAGTGTGACCCACTTTCAGCAGAGGCAAAAGAGAACTTTCCGTTCGCCAACACATGTTCAAACACATTATCTTTGCCGTTAATTGCGTGTTATGATATGTTCAAAAGGAACATGGCTGCAGCTGTAAAAGTCCACCTATTTACTACAGAGTAAAGATGTAGTTGTACGGCTCCATAGCTATTACACGACCTGTAGGGGGAATTAAGACCCTTTGATCATGTAATACATTGTACAAGCTGCATAAATATACGTGTATTAAAATACACTCTAATCTTGAAATAGGATAATCATTTACCTAACACAGGAAAACAAGAATTTACCATTATTATGTTAGCATCACATTAACCTTCTTATGACACTTATGTTTGGACTACGTAAATACTCTTTCTATGTATTGCATGGATACATGCAGGCATGGCTTTGTTCAGAATATCACTTGGATAATGAGACAAATGTGTCCTTATGAGCTCATTTAGCAACTTCAGTTATTATTCTCTTTTAGTTTGTCAACACCTGTGATTCAGAACCTCTGGAATGATGTACACATACATTACTTTTAACAATTGAGAAATAGTAGAACTTGATATCATTTTATACAGTTCCGTCATATGAGTAAGACATTCAGAAACGTAATTGGTGTAGAGAGTATTTTTACACACGACAGGCTCATTACGTTTTTATTTAAACAATGTATATTTCGAATGTGCATACTACGAAGGTAACAGTTTTGAAGATGACAAATGGCCTACATTTATAATCTCTTTTGAATTTTAGTTTACAGTGAATAGTATTTTACACAAGACAGTGCTTGCGTGAGACATGATTTATAATTGAAAAGTTGATTACGGTTTTGTTTCAACCATTATTTTCAGTATGTTTGTGCATGTTATTCGTATGGAATAATTATTAGTTCGGGTCAAACCCTCTGTTTGTAATCCTAACAATAATTCGGCGCCTACATGAGAGTCATATAAAAGGGGGTCATTAATGAAAGTGACAAGATGCTTCAGATGAAGAGGTTTGAACTGTTTGAAAAATGTGACTCCATGTCTCCTAACATTCTTTAATAGAGTCATACAGTAGAGTCCCTCCAGTTTTGACACGAGCCAAGCATATAGGTCCAGAGCTTCCTGGGTATCCTTTGGCTCTGTCTTCCCGTTGAGGATAAGGAGATTCTGACAGACGTCTTCGAACTCTTCTTCACATCCCGAAGGGCGAGTTATGGTGCACATTGACTGAATAGCGTGGATGTCTCGTGTGTCAACTTCAGTCTTGTAATCAACAGTGCCTGAAACATATACGAAGGGTTTAACGCAGTGTCACAACAGGTATAAACGACACACATTTCGCAAGTTTTGGGGGTGGAACCCGGGTCAAAGCGTAACATGCCAACGAGTTATCTTATAACATCTTTCTACCGTAGGATATGCAAAGTTATGTTTATGCATTAACTGCAACACAACATGGACAGTACTGTTGGTGACTCCAGTGAATCCTACCATATTCAGATGGAAGAAAAAAGAGAAGATCTGGCTTTCCACTGACATCTGCCCCCGTTCGCCTAACCCTGTGCTGGTTCCATTCTTTGCCGATCTGGTCAAGCTCAGTCTGTACCAGCCGAGTGAAACAGAACCTCAAACACTCCCTGTTCAAAAACAGATGTTGCACTTTTGACAGTTAATGTTTACTGATGAACTGAGTGTAAATGTAAAATCCTCTTGTACACTGCAAATTGGCTAAATGAGTCTGTATAACGGGTTTTATGGTCATATATTCATAAATGCAAATCGTGTTTTGAAATTCATTCCTATGGTAACAGTAACAGCTTCACATGCAGCTTTTATAATCAACAAAACAAACACACATGTTAGAGAACGATACGAAATCAGTGACACTCTATTATCAACCAACCAGAAAAGAGTTGTGTGCTCGTTGGCGTTGCCTACCTTTCTTAGGTTTATGGAAACAAATGCAAAAGACACTGCTTGGTTTGCCAATTGAATATGTATGAACCAATAGCAATTCTATTTGCATATTAACAAAACATTATGAAATTATATATTTCAATGTTGAATACAGCAACATATAATGAAAGAAATAGTTGTGATTGCTACTTACATGTGAAGGTTGTTGTCAGTTGATACAATGCCCTGAGATTCCATGTCCTTGAACAAGTTGATCCAGTAATCCGCACCATTTTGTCTCAAGGACATCCACCATTTTTCTATTCTCTGCAATAAACACTGCTTCTTTCAAAGTCAGATACACATGCATTTATTTAGTGCTGAATGCTCCCAGTCATATCTATGTGTATAACACATGGAAAATAGTCTTTACCTCTATAAGACATATTAAAACATTCCATGAAAATATCTTGTTTGAGTGGCATTGTTGGTGTGGTGAACAACAGGGAGTGTTCAATAGATATACAACTTCTTTATTATTAATATGAGCGACGTTTCGGTGTAGCTACTTACACCGTTATCAAGCAAGTGATGTACAATACTGCAAGCAAAGCTATATATATACATAGTCAAGTTTGAACAGTAAGTTGATTGATGTTTACAGAATTAATGAGGTTTATGTACAACGTTTACACAAAAAGGCAATTGTTACATGTACATTTTGTTACTATGTATATATAGCCTTTCTTGCAGTATTGTACATCTCATGCTTGATGATTTGTGTTAGTAGCTACGCCGAAACGTAGCTCAATAGTACAGAAGGTGTATATCTATAGAACTATAGAACTCCCTCAGTTGTTCTATGAAAATAGGAGGTGTTTTCATCTTTAGATGTCACTGAAACAACGTGAACAGAAACTACCATGTGTGATGAAAAGAAAACCCTTTCCACATCCATACGAAATCACTACTAAAAGCAGAGTGGATAATTCCGACTATGTCATGAGCTGTCATATAGTGATGATACTGGGTGTATTGTGAGCTAATGCTTCATACTTAGGAATAGGTATCAGGGTTTATATGTTTCTGCTTCAGTAAAAACCTGATTTCTGTGAGAACTGCCATACAAGACACTGTTTTCTCCTGCCATATCATCCGTGTGTGACCACCTCATTGCTTTTTGTAGATCTTCAATAAATACGTTCTCAGTCCCCTGTCCATCCTTATGGAGCGGGGAACCCTGAAAGGAAAACAAATACTGTTTTGCAAATGCACGGCACCACAATGCATCATATTTAACATAGTTACCGTTGTCGGACATTTCCTACGTTATAACATATGTTATATTTTGGATTACACTTTCTCAGTAAAGTACAGATTCTAGTACTTTTGATGGAGTGAGTCCCATTCGGGATTCGAACCCACACCCTCAGAGTCACGCAACTTATAGCTAGCACACAAAGTCAGCCACCTAACCCGGTCAGCCACCGCTGAGTTACATTTGACCACTTTGTAAATAGCACTGTGTATTCATTTCCAACGCTGACTTGATGCAAAGTACAACTTTTGTGAATTGGAATTAGAGCGGCGTTACAATCCAACATAATTGGGATCCCAAGTTGTTTGAGGTTCTGAATGTATCAGAAATAGTCTGAAACATTGGAAACAGAAGTCATGCATTAGGCCAAAACGATGATACTATACTCCCTCCCGAGTCTCCATTACCTCCAATACTTTCAACGTAGTGCAGGAAATAGTGACCTACAACATATGGATCTTTGTTACTTCTGCCAACTTTGAGCCATAGTATTCGTCTTGAAAAGCTGAAAATGATATTAAAGTATATATATGTCTTCATTCAAATCTCCTTTACTGTGTTAGAATGACGACATGGTGTCTGGTACTAATAATTATTATATAATATTTAGTATGAACTTACCCGCAAATAGCGCCGTGAATAGCAAAACCAAATGGTGTAATCTTGTCGTAGCCATCTATGTGTACAAGATACTTGGGTCCCTTGTTACTGTACAGTCGTCTTGAAAAACGTTGGGTCCTTCGGGCAGATACTCTGTCTGGGTCGACAATCCTCAATATCTCCATGACCAAATGCCTAGTATGAATAGGAGTCGTATATTTCGGATAGAATTATGAGAAACTGATGTGAATAACTTCGACGGGACGAGCGAGCGATTTATCCACTAGGCTACCCCCACCGAACCTCACAATAAACAATATTCCACTGACGATGTATTCTTTGACATTTTATGCCTGAACAATACCATTGTCGCTTGTTGCGCATTTCATTTTATAATTTGTAAAGACACGGATAGCGCACAGGATACTTTACCTTGGTACTCTGAGACCATGAACATTTCTTAGGCGTTCAGTCATGCTTCTGTAACCGAGACAGGTACCACTACCTTGCAGCACATTCTGAAAAGAACAGAATAACTAAGAATAACGCGTGCATGCGTGCATGCGTGCATGCGTGTATGTGTACATATATCAAAGACAAATAAAGTTTGATAGCACATTAAGGATGAAAAAGGTCTTACCTGAATAGCCCTTATAACTCTTTCATGATCTATACAGCCCAAACGACGCCTCAGACCAAGTGTGATGAGCGTTCGCTTCAGAGTTCGTATGCTGAAAGATTTACAGTTGCCTTTTTACTCATTTAACATGCTCCGCGTAAGCAACAGTATGGGTTTATTACCATTCATTAAAGATGTGCTTTCTTTATACTATAGTTACACGACACATGCTATTAGTATAACGAAGAAGGAACACATGCGTATAACAGTTACTAGCTGGTGATAACTACTAATTTACTTACGACATCATCTCTAGAAGTAATACTAAAATCTTACCGTCACTGCTGTTACTATTTAGGTTCATTTTATATGGTGGCTGAATGTTCACTAATATGATCTTACATTACAAATTGCGAGTCGGTTTCCGTTTGTGCATGCGCAGATCTAACAAGTGAACACATGACGATATCGCTGTATCGCAATATCGTTGTATGGCCATATCGCCACATGGTATTACTGTATCGCAATATCGCCATATCGACTTACATCATATCGCCATTTCGTGTCGTGTTATCGCCATATCGTGTCGTGTTATCGCCATGTCGTGTCGTATTATCGTCATATCGTGTCGTGTTATCGCCATATCGTTTTCTGTCTGTATCGCAATATCGCTGTATCGTGTCGCCGTATCGCAATGTCGTGTCGTACTATCGCTTTGTCGCGATGTCGCCTACATTTTTTCAGGGCGATAAAACGATGGCCCGAATGAGCCACCATAGGTTAGTCTATATTGCACAAATATGGTCTTAAAATCGATATGATCGTTTACTTCACTTCCCATTTATCGCATACGTTTGGAAAATTGGATTTCGATATGAAACTATCGTAAACTGATCTAGATCCTTTAGTAGGTTTAATAAGATCATTCCAAGGGGAACTTATCGATACCTTTGTTATGTTTGGGTTTCCAGCAGTTTGAATGACTTCTTTCCATTTTGGGGAATACTGACGATGACACGATTTATGTCAAGTACTGTGCCCTTAATATCAAATTTAGTTTTAAGTTCTGCAAATGAGAGTACCTCTTAGTCATTGAAAATGTCTTTAATATTAACAATTCCTTGTTAAAACCAGTAATTGATTATCAAATATGTGTTGCGTAACTGGTGATTTAACCAAAGAGGTTGCATAACAATTCGTTTATGTTGATATGATTCACTACATATCTCTTTATATATCTATTCCAGGCATCAAATGCATCTTTATCTCACATACTTCCCGCTATCTTATTATCGAATCCTAAGAATAAATCAACGTACCCGCTTTTCTACATATCGCCATATCGCAATGTCGCTGTATCGCCATATCGCGTCGCCATATCGCAATATCGCCTTTTCACGTTATCACCATATCGCAATGTCGCGTCTTTTTATCGCCATTTTGTGTCGTGTTATCGCCATTTCGTGTCGTGTTATCGCCATTTCGTGTCGTGTTATCGCAATGTCGTGTTGCGTTGTTGCCATTGCGTGTTGCGTTATCGCTGTATCGTGTCTTGTTATCGTCATGTCGTGTCGCGATATCACTATTTCGTTTTTGTCTGTATCGCCATATCGCAATATCGTGTCGTGCTATCGCTTTGTCGCGATATCGCCTAGATTTCTTCAGGGCGATAAAGCGATGGCCCGAATGAGCCACCATACTAACCGCTAGGCATCTTACAAACTACAATAACAGCAAATGACAATCTGGGATTATATTCTTAGTCAAGTAAAAATCCTTGTACTTTTGCTAGTATGCTGACAAAAAACGGATGATTTACATCTTTGTTTACATCTTGGCTCTTTGGTGTTTTTCTTGGACATTTTCCAGGTCGATCTGGCGGGCGTGGAGTGTTCCACGTGAGCATTGCCAGTCGCTATGTTATTTATACCTTGGGTCACCGTCACCTGTATACACTCAACTATCGGCTTGTCTTGTTGCTTATCACTGAATGTTTATCCTAATATATAGCAGAGATTTTGAGCTATGGCAACTGACAGGTTTGTCAGAGAGGTATCAGCAGTCTGTGCGCTCCGTACGAGCTAGCACAATACAATCAGCATACGTCTGGGCTAGTACAAGCAGCCACACATGCCTACGCATGCACGTGGTCATATGAGTGAAATATTCTTAAGTACGACGTTAAACGCCATTTCACCTCACCTCACTCGTTGTTTAGTTTAGATTCTCACTGTCGCCCCAACCTGATGCCAGCTCTGGAATGAATGATACACGTCGTTAGTGAGAGCACAAAACCATTCGCATACAGCAGTTAATGATGCCATAAGAAGTGATTAATGACGTCATATGAATAAGTAGTTAGTGACGTCACAATCTGCGGCAAAGCGGTTTAGTAGCTCAAGAAGAAATTATTCGATATTTTCATCACATTATAGTAGTTTTGAAAATTCATCTTTTGACATGGCGATAACAATTTTACTTCAGAATTTGAAAGTCTGCCAAAAATGCAATAATGATATTAAAGATATGTGCAAAAAATGTTTTCATTGTATTTGTTTTTATGAAAATGATGACTTGAACTCTCATTATGCGTCATCTCACAAACTGAAAAATTCACCTAAGAAAAAACAAGAATTACTTCCCCTATCAAGTTGGCCTTGACATTGACATTTCACGGCAATGTGACTGAAAAGAGCAATCTTGTGATTAAAAAAGGCCGAGAATAGGTACGAATTGAACAAATCTCTTTTGTAGATCTAAAGAATATGTGCATTGTAACAAGTGTGTCTATTCATTACCAATAAATTGATAATATAAACTCAAAAAACTCTTCGTAAATCATCAAATCTCTGTGTGCTGTTGTAGATTCAAAAGTAATTTTGGCGAGTTATCTTGTTTGACAACGTCAAAATTGGTGAACAAACAAGAACCAAACTATGTTGACTTCAACTAAGATAGACTTAGGAGTGAGTGAGTGAATTGAGTTTTACGCCGCACTCAGCAATATTCCAGCTATATGGCGGCGGTCTGTAAATAATCGAGTCTGGACCAGACAATCCAGAGATCAACAGCATGAGCATCGATCTGCGCAATTGGGATACGATGACATGTGTCAACCAAGTCAGCAAACCTGACCACCTGATCCCGTTAGTCGCCTCTTACGACAAGCATAGTCGCCTTTTGTGGCCAGCCTGGGTTGCTGAAGACCTATTCTACCCCGGATCTTCACGGGTCGATAGACTTAGGACAAGTCAGAACCTATCCTAGTATTTGTCCTAAGTTAGGATATCCTAGCGCTAGGACACTTTTCGAGAATAAGGTAGGACACCTATCCTAGATCCTAGGATCAAAGTTAGGATATCCTAGGGCTAGTATCCTTTCGCCAATATGGGACCAGTGGCTCATGTGTATTTAAGACCAATAATACGGCGAGCAGTGAGTTTGTCTGTTGGTTGGTGTCATTCGCCAATACAATTCCAATACAATACAATTCTAAATATATCAGGCACGCAACACCCTTCACAGTTTCGAAGTTTGTGTGGAAATGTCCTGTTTCTGGATACCATCCACCATTATCTCAGACAAAGCTAAAGTGCTGAAATCACCTTTCAAAATAGGTTTCATCGTGAATGTCGCCATTTTTGACACGATACGACATCCAGATTCACAGTGTTATTTGGTATATGTTTTGAAACGTTAAATCGGATAATTATTCGGAGTATTGTATTTCCAAAATGGCGTCTTAATGATCACTGATATCAGATTTTTTCATGAAATCACTATTGATGATACTAAAGGAACTCCTCTCATTAAGTAAAAGCACCCCCTCTTTCATGGTTTATGGGAACTGGGGAGTTATCCGCTGGAAATTGGAATTAAATCTCGAACGCTACTCTTTTGGGGAAACTCATTTCAGGAAAGGCTTCTAAAGGCTTCTAAGGCTTCTAAATTAGTAAGGCTTTTGACAAGGTCTGGCACAAAGGCATACTTCGTAAACTTGAATCATATGGTTTCAACGGCAACTTGTTACTATGGTTTAAAAGTTACCTAGAAAATCGATATCAACGCGTTGTTGTAGATGGTTATAAATCCGACCATAGACCAGTTCCAGCAGGTGTCCCCCAAGGATCCGTTTTCGTACCGCTTTTATTCATACTTTACATAAATGATATTGTTGATGGCTTTAATAGAAACATAAGACTTTTCGCCGACGACACCTCGCTTCATGATATAGCCCTTGATTCCAAGACAGCTATGGCTTGTCTAAATGGGGATTTATCAAGAATATCTAACTGGGCAAGGGAATGACAAGTTGATTTCAATCCAAGTAAAACTGTATCTATACAATTTTCCCGAAAACTAGCTCATAGCGCTAAGCCAGAATTGCTCATGAATAACTGTGGTTATGTGGCTGGCCACAAACACATAGGAGTAATATTTCAACAAGATAGCCTTTGGCATAATCATATCAAAACCATTTCAAAGAAAATTGGCCCCATGATAAACTGTCAGAGAAGTATTGAGTATCTACTCAATAGAACGACTCTGGAAACTATGTACAAATCATTTATGCTGCCTATTTTCGATTATGGCAGCCATATTTGGGACAATTGTACAAATGAACAAAAACTTATCCTTGAAAAGTGACACCTCGATGCAATCAGAACTCTATGCGGAGCTGTCCATGGCACCAGGCATGATAAACTATTACATGCAACAAATCTTACCTCTTTAGATGAAAGGAGACATTCTCAAAAGCTGTGTATGTGCTATAAATGGAAAACAGTTCAGTGCCCCCTTATTTATCATACCAAATAAAGTATCTGATTCAACTCCTTTTATTTTAAGAAATTGTAGAACTAGTAACTATGCCAAATCATTCCTTCCTGACACCGTCAACATCTAGCATTTTTTACCCTCAGACAGTGAGTACAAACGCTCTGTCCCTTGGCGAATTCAAAAAGAGATTAAAAAAGGACGATGTTAATAAAACAAAATTACTTCGACTTTACTACGGTTTACGAATTTGTCAAATCATTCACTACCGCTTCCAGCTTGGTTACAGCGATCTCAACGCCGACAAATTTAAAGGTCACATGCAATAAAAAACAAAAACAAAACAAAAAAACATAATCAAAACAACTGTCACTTATTCATGACATATAATATACATTGCTGATTATTCAAAAACAAATAAACAAAACTATAAGCGTACAATCGCAAATCAAAAGTGCAATTTTTGGTACTTGGGTTTACTTCCCTCGAAACGAAGGACCCGGGAGACCGAACCCAGTCAGAGCGGGTGCGTGTGCACTCAAGTGTAATAAAGCCGTTCATTGACTGGTTCATTTGCGGATACGTTGAGGGCTCATTGTGTGTGTGTGTGTATGTGTGTGTGTGTGCGTGTGTGTGTGCGTGCGTGTGTGTGTGCGTGTGTGTGTAGAGAGATGTTGGATTCCTGCTTGACAACGGTACAAGAACCTGTATTGAAACGTCGCTCTCTCGTAATAAAGCTTCTATAATCCCACCCAAAGAAGTTATGTTAGGTTTTGTAAATTCGTGCTCATTTTTATCTGCATTTGCCTTCGATCAAATCAACAAATACTGAGATGGTGAAACTGCGTGGCTGGAAACTGTCGTTCGTTCAAGTACAAAGTAGGGCTTGAAACTGACAATCTGAGTTTTGCACCGGTTTCCGTACGATCCAGTCATCCGAGAAAAATGGATGCAGTTTGTTTGCAACCCATCGACATAATAACATGTCATGTGTAGAAGTATCGCACCTGTCTGTCTGTGTAATTACATAATGTGACAGAGACAGGACTTAGGTGCGCGAGATATAAATCAATGCATTTTGTTTATGGTGTTTAGCCTTATACGTTTCAAGTTCGAATTGCATGTGGTCAGTGATTAAAGTTGTGTATTGCATATTGTCATTAGCAGACAGGCAGGCAGACAGACTCATAGGTGTCAATAAAAGAGACATTGAGTTCTGTCTGTGACAGAGACTGCTTATCACAATCAACACATTTTTCTATGTTTCCATAGACATGCATTAAAACATTTCAGTTTTCAAGCTGAGTAATTTTTAACAAATGTTTAACTAACAAATTAGTATTTCTAATGCTACACTTTCTAGAAAACTTTTTTTTACGAATCTGTCAACCCCCAAAAGCAAGATGTGAAAACATATAACAAAAAGTATGGGACCAGTGTATTTTATTACTGCAGATTAAAGATGCTTGTAATCACAAGAAACATCTTTTGTTAATCCATGCACGCATCACTTGCTGTGTTTTACGAGTCGCCTTCCCAGTTCAAGCCGCGCGAACCTAATCACTGCGCATGCGCTATGGGCTCAGCGCAGCACAGCTGCTGAAGCCACTTTTCACCCCCACCGTTGGGGTGAAATTAGTGAATCGTTTGAACTCCGATTTCGCGGGGTTTTTTTTCGTTGCGTTATTTTCAACTTTATAAGTTGAATTTGCAGTTTTGATAATTTGTTACTGTAAGTTCATACCGAAAGGTATCAGAATCTGCAAAGTTGTGTTTTACGTTGCATGTGACCTTTAAATGTTTTACAGATACCAGCTACATATTGCACTCATCTAGTTAAGTGTTTTATTGATACCAGACACATATTGCAATCATTTAGGTAAGTGTTTTTATTGACACCAGCAACATATTGCATTCATTTAGCTAAGTTTGGCTTGTGATACCAGCCACATATTGCATTTATTTACACCCTTAAAAACAGAAACGCTTAAGAGCAATTATTTCATGTAATTTCAGTGGAAAAAGGGTAAAACTTCAGACCTCATACGAGTTCGCCAACACAAAAGTAGCCTTTATTGTTGTGCTTCTGTTTACATGTATTTTCATTTTTACGTATTACAGATTGAAAGCCAAAGTGCAAAACACAGAGACACAAGTGAAAGTACTGGCACAACAGCTGAGACGTGTTGAACGGGATAGAGACACTTACAGAAAGAGTCTTCGAAAACTACTTCGCAGATTGACCAAAGACATCCGAGAAATTCTGATGTGTTAGTTCACTTGGATGAGAAAGTATCACATTTATCCCCAGAGCAGTTCAAATGTCAGATTTGATTCATGAGTTGTCTGTATATGATCTACATATGTCTCACTTCATAGTACATAGTACTATTTCCGTGTACACAATACGGCACATGTGAAGAGCAACCTCCTCGTGGTGGGTGCTGGGTAACGCTAATAGCTCTTCAGCTGTTCACTTGGCAGGAATACAGGTAGGTTTTATAAGACTCTCATCAGAATGCATGTATGGCGTACTTGTTTGAGAGATGAGGTAACTACGTACTGTGTGCACGTCATGAACACGACAGCATCGACTGAGTCATCTACATTGGAATACAAAAGTGAGGCAACGATACATTTGGTACGACATCTGTTGTGTTTTGGCAACATGTGCATAATGCCACTGGTCACAATAAAATGTCTGAGAAGCAGTGGACTATGTTGTATTTAGGGATCCAGGGGGTTTATACGGCTTTCCTGTTGACA